ATCAATGAAATAAAATAAGTACAAATAGGGGACCCTAGTTGCAATGATATACTAATCTGGCCTATGGAAAAAAGGGCACTTTAACTGTGAAATCAAGCTACCATTGGATTCATAGCAAAGAGCATCCTAATAGACTTCAGAGGGCCTCCTTACTGTTACCAATTAGTAATCAAGTGTGGAAAAGTGTCTGGAAGTTAGAAGCCCCTCCAAAAATTCGGACTTTCATGTGGAGAATACTTCACAGAGCTTTTGCCACGAGGCTGGATTTATTTAAGAGACATGTTGCTGCCTCACCAATATGCCTTATTTGTAAAGAGCAGGAGGAATCTGTGGAACATATGCTCTTGCTATGCCCGTGGGTTGAACCAGTTTGGTTTGGAAGTCAACTCAATTACAAGGTGAATAAAAATGAAATTACTACTTTTAGTAATTGGTTAAATAATTTAGTTGAAACCAATATGGGGAGCAAGCAAGAAAAAACTGTACTGATGTCACAAGTTGTATTTACTTGTTGGAACATTTGGAAAGAAAGATGCAATGCTATTTTCAATCAAAAAATTGTGTCACCTTTGCAAGTTATTCATAAGATTAATTGCGCTTACGGAGTCTGCTAGAAGAAATCAAAAGGTTGCAACTCAAATGCAGACAAATTCACGCAACAGGGGAAACCTAATTGGTAATCCTCAACTTGGTACTACTTGGTTTCCACCTGAGATTTCTTTTTTCAAAATAAATGTGGATGCAAGTTGGAACACAACCACTAAATCAGAAAATGTTGGAGTGGTGATCAGAGATTCAGATCGCAAGTTTGTTGCAGCTAGGAAATCATTCATCAAGGCTTCAAGGTTACAGGTGGCTGAATCATTGGCAATATTGGAGGGTTGTACTTTGGCTAAACAATTCGGATTAGATAAAATTATTGTAGAATTAGACTCAATGGAGACTATTTTGTGCTTAAAAAACTCCATATGTAACACCCCACCCCCAAAATCCTCATTTCGGAAAATATTATCGATGATAGACCCAAACTAAACTCTTATTTAGCTCGCTACCAACATCCACAATTCTTTAATTAAATTTCTAAATTCCACACATAATCTATAGCCATAATTCACTTTTCAACACATACTATTATATTTTTGTTTTATTATTAATTCCTTCTCTTAGATCAAAATTTCAACTAGAGATGTAACTTCGATTAATTGACCTCGATTATTTTATAGCTGCATCTAATTTCTCATTAGACTACCTATGTACCCTAAACAGGGATCAAACCATTCGTAGTTTGCCAATTCAAATTCAATTAAATTCCGAAATTCATCCAAGTGACTAACAATCACCATCTAGCTTCAAACAAGTGAATCACACCAACTTATCAAATTTGGTTTCAGAACATCAAAATTAGCTTAAAAATACGGCGTCGGCTCACTGGCCACGAGCTGTCGCGGGTGGCAGTCGGCCATCCCGACTCGCTGGAAAATTCCACTATTTCTAAAAATTTTCAAATTTTACAGAAATTCTGGCTGGAAAATCCGATCTCTCATTTCCCTTCATCGCAGCCACACACGTGGCACAACTCATCCAGATTTTCCAGAGCCTTTTAAAATGAAATAAAATTACCAAAATATCCCTGACTTTAAACATTAATAACTTCTTTGTTATAACTCCGTTTCACGAACAGTTTGCGCCTACACGTTCGTGAGATCAAGCTTTACTCAGAAATATAAATTGTGACTTCGAAAGGTTTATGGATTTTAAATAATTAATTTCCAAACTTCGTAACTAGTTTAATTTAAAACTAAACTCAAATAAATTATTATAAATTCTTGAAAAATCATATAAAATCTCAATAATACAAATAGGTAATTATAATAATTTCCGGAAACAAAACTTTAAAATTTCTCAATTAAATTCTTCATAACCATAAATCGATTTATTTTCGATTTTTCTCCACATATTCATATATTTAAAATTTTCAGGGTATTACACCATATATAATGGTAGATGGGAGGCTTTCCTAGTATTATGGAAAATTATGCAGATGAAGGATACTTTCCGGCCTTGCCGATGGTCTTGGGTCCCTAGATCAACAAACATGGTGGCTGATTGGATAACATCTTTTAAGAACTCGAAGATGAGCGAAGTTACTTGGGTCAATAAACCTCCATCTTTAATTGTGTATATTTTGAAAGAAGATGGACTGCCTTGCCCACATCAAGTTTAGTTTGTAGGAGTGTTTAGGGTGACGCTGCGAAGTTGTTTCAGTGTCAACTAGTTTATCCTTCTTACACTCCTTTGTTGTATCCCTATTTTTGTATCTTTGTTTGTCCTTTGTTGGGCTTTTCTTGTATTTTGGCTTTGCCTTGGAAATAAACATTCAGTTTACCAAAAAAAAAAAAATGTAAGTTTCTTTATTTTAATTCAGGTGCGTCATTTTAGAATGTGTTTGTAATTTAGTTGGTTAAGGGTTCTTGCATGCGAAGTCTCGCGTTCGAATCTCCTTTCTACACCATTGCTTGTATGAAAAAAGAAAGAAAAAAAAAAATCATCTATATCCTTTATGGTCAATTTATTATAGAGCAAGTATCAAATACATCAAGTGTTGGATGATCTTACTTTAACGATTAATCAAATTAAAGGTGAACAAGGTAAGGAGAGAGGGATGGGTCGTCTGCCTGCAAGTGCAAGGGGAGGGAGAAGGAAAGAGATGCTGGAGTTGCAATAATCAACTTAGAAAACGACAATGCTCAAGGTAAATCTGCTACCCTTCTGTTTTCTTCTCATACATTTCTTTTGCAAGGCATTTCTTTCTGGTTGAGCTCAAGCTCAAACATTCTTTTGCAATGAATTAAGTCGTCTCTGGAAGTAGCAAGTCAACTGTTATAAACTTTTGTAGAAATATCAGAGAGACGGGCCATACGGTCCACTTCCAACAACACCGATATTGTTCCTAACTTGGTAATTACTACCTGCACAATCCGTCAAGTGTGGAGTTTTATCACAAAAGGCATCGGTATTAGTTAGAGTGGAGTTGTAATATTTAAACTATTACTTATCTTTAAGTATGGACGACGTGAGATTCAACACGCCCCCTCACAGTGGACCTAATTAGTGGGTCACACGTAGGAGATCCACATATCGACAACCACGTGGACAATAACGGAGCCAGGAATTATTTGGTGGGTGGGCTAAACTAAAATTATTACGAGGAGATCAAATGGTTAAATTTTTTTGTTACTTACATAAAGTTACACAATAAAAAGCTTGAAAGTAATAATTTAAAGTAAGAAATTTAACTATGAATAAAGCAAGTTTTAACTAGATTTAACAAAGAAAACATTTGAAGTTGCAACTTATAGTAAAAAGAAACATACATCATCAATCTTGTTTTAACAACTTAACAAATAAAAGAAAAAGTACCTATTCAAGTTGCACCATTCGATCCTTAATGGAATTGAAATCCTTTGTTATTTCTTCTGAATCAATCTTTTCGGCAAATTTTTTTCAATGTACACAACCATTGGATCTGCTGGAAATTCACTCTCCATCTTGTTGTGAAGTCTTGTTTTAATAATACAAGTTTATATAATAAATTATATTTCTAAGAAATCTATCACACTATCAGAAAAAAAATATATTAAACTTGAAATTGAATTTTTAAAGTACGATTATACGAACTCTTAAAATTAAAGTAATAAACAAATAAAATCATCAAGATATAAGAATAAAGTGGTCCAAAACTTACCTATTGATGAGAAAAATCAATAAACTTTCTCACTTGTATGCTTGGTTTCTGTGAACTGCGGATGAGACAGGACGAAGGCTTTCTGAACTGAAAAGTAAAATAGGGTCACTGTTGTACCCCAAAAGTCAAAGAAAAAAAAAAATAAACTACTCCTAGGAAACCTAAAACAATAAAATATTAAATCTACTTTTTAAAACCGGATGACTACTCCTAGGAAACCTAAACTAATCACTAGAGACTACTCCTTATAAACTAATCAAATAAATAGACTTATTGGGACGTGTGTGTCAGTGTGTGTACAATTTGAAATATAATAATAATAAATTTTGATATTGATTAAAGTAAATCATTTATTTAATATTTATTAACTCTTACTTTTTCTAAAAGTAGTCAAACTTTTACTTGTTAGGTTGCTATAGCCCACCCTAGCTTTGTTACTGCCTCTGCGGTTGCACGTGGAGCCAAGGGGACTCACCCTACACGCAGGGCCAAGGGACTCGCCATCATCGCGCGGGGCCAAAGGGACCCATCCATCACGTGGCAGTATAGTACGGGTCCACTCTTTGACTCTGATACCATGTAGAAATATTAGAGAGACGGGTCATACGGCCCACTTCCAACAACATCGATATTGTCCCCAACTTGGTAATTACTACCTGCACAATCCATCAGATGTGAGATTTTATCACAAAAGGTCTTAATGTTAGTTAGAGTGGAGTTATGATATTTAAACTATTACTTATCTTTAAGTATGAACGATGTGGGATTCAACAACTTTAACCCCATTTTCCCACCAAGAAATTGTTGTAGACTTTGACCAAGGAAAAGTTCGTCTCTCACTCATACGACAAATTTCATATCAAATTATTATGAACACAGATCCCCTCTGGATCTATTATGTGAGGATCCTAGGGATCCTCACATCTTAACCATTCGTCGTATACTGTACGATTATTTTTCATGATGATACTATTTGTGTTTAATTTAAAATAATAAAAATAAAATAATTTATAACTGAACGATTCACAATGTACGGTTAAGATGTGAGGATCCTAAGAATCCTCAAGATCCCCACATAATGGATCCGGACGGGATCCGTGTTAAATTATTATAACATATTTATTGTGTGACGTGCCTTTAACGTCATTACGTCATTGTATTGAAAAAAATTAAAAATTAATTTCAATGCTTTGACTCCTTTCACCTTGTATCCAGATTCCAAGTCTTAATTTTGAAGTAAAACCCACTCCCACTCAAGGAAGAAGCTACGATGGTTCTCTTCATAATTTTGAGAAGAAGTCAGCCTACCTCATTAGGTCAATTCACACTATTTCTCACATGAACATTTCTATATATAGAGAGAGCCGCATTGCAGATTGATATACTAAACAAATCACGTATAATTAACCAAAAACCAAACTCTCAGTTCACATTCTAGAAATGGCTTCGTCTTCCTCTTCAGCTGAAACCAAACTGGCAACAGCCAAGACAATTCTATCAACGGCAGCCTCTCTGGCTGCCACGGCAATGTTAGTAAGGTCAATCGCTCAAGATTTTCTCCCCCCTGAAATCCAACACTACTTCTTCTCTGGCATCCGAAGCTTCTTTAGTCGATTTTCGTCACAACTCACCATGGTCATAGAAGAGTTCGATGGCCTTGTCAACAACCAGATATATGAGGCAGCAGAAATCTACTTGGGTGGCAAAGTCTCCCCGTCGACAAGAAGACTCAAAGTCAGCAAGCCCGAGAAAGAAAACAACTTCACCGTCGCCATGGAAAGCAATCAAGATATTGTGGACGTCTTTGGCGGAGTTAAATTCACTTGGGTATTGGTATCCAGGCATGTTCTAAAATTCCCATTATCTTCTCATAATTTCTCTAATATGACATAAGACTGTTTATATTGTCTGAGAAATATTAATTTGATCAAATTGAGTCTTGTGTGAATGTGCGTGATCTACAGTTTGACAACACTACATATGCGTTTTATAACATAAGATTTTAAGTTTGACTGTACCAATCTAGATCAATGATGGATCAAGTTAATTTTGCCTGAATATATTTGTCTGACTAACATAAGTTTGGCAAAAGAATATTGTTAGACAAATTTTCATATAAACCATTCTTCCAATGTGTAGATAATTTTCTGTTAATATGTTTGTCGATATTTCCCTGAAAAATAAACATCGGTATTTAATACCTTGTGTTACAGGCAAGTTGAATCCCAGAACTTCCACAACCCTAGAGACCTCAACTCAACTTTGAGGTCAGAAGTGAGATCCTTTGAGCTGAGCTTCCACAAGAAACAAAGAGACTTGGTGCTAAACTCTTACCTCCCACACATTGTCAAAGAATCAAAGTCCATGAAGCAAGAAACGAAAACCCTAAAAATCTTTACACTTCAATCTGAGCACATGTACTGCTACAACCTAGGCGACGCATGGACTTCCACAAATCTCGATCACCCGGCAACCTTTGACACGCTGGCATTGGACTCAGAGATCAAGAACTTCATTCTTCAAGATCTTGAACGGTTCACAAGGAGGAAGGATTATTACAGAAAAGTTGGGAAGGCTTGGAAGAGAGGTTACTTGTTGTATGGTCCACCGGGGACCGGGAAATCTAGCTTGATTGCTGCAATGGCTAATTACTTGAACTTCGATATCTATGACTTGGAGCTCACTGCGTTGAGGTCCAACTCGGAGCTTAGGAGGTTGCTGATTGCAATGGCTAATAGGTCGATATTGGTGGTGGAGGATATTGATTGTACCATTGAGTTGCAAGATCGAAAGGCTGAGGATAGACTCAATACAGCTTCAGACCCATATGGGTCCCATGAGAAACAGGTTAGTAGTAAGTCTTTTCTTCTTGTACTGCATGCCTTCCTTAATTTTTTTTTTTTTTGGTTCTAGGTGTTTAATTTGGTGTTCACTATTTTCTCCTTGATATATTGTTTTATTTGCTTTAATTTTAAAATGTGGAAAGTGTCTTTCATTGGACTTGAGTTGGAAAAATAGAAAAACATACTTTGCTCCGTTTTTGAATACGTGCCAGAGTGTATTTGACATTACTATAAATGAGTTTGTGTTTTGTGATGCCATAATTTGAATATTTTTTTTTTTTTTTTTTTGTGCCAATAGTTATTCCTCCTCTCATACCACTTGCAATTATACATGTGCCAAAATCAATTTTTTGTGTGTTTTTATTAGTTGTTTATGAATACGTGTCAGAATGTCTTTGATGAATTACTACAAATGAGTTTGTGTTTTGCGATGGCATAATTTGAATAAAAATAATATTATTTCTCTAACCCTTTCTCCTCTTACTAAGACTAATGTTCTTCGCTTTAAATTAAAAAAATAAAGTGCATTAGAAAGGTACTTGTCGTTCAGAAAATAAAAAATTTACTGACCATCTTTAAATAAGAAAAAGTCAAACAATATTCAATAATAAAAATTAAATTGTTTTCCCTTGTAAAACCAGACCAGGTTCAATGTTTGAGAAAAATTCTTACTTTCGTTGATCTGTAGAAATGATTGAATCGGTGCTTTTGTGTTTTGTGATGCCATAATTTTGAATTTTAGGATTTACAAAAAAATGAGATTTAAAAAAAAAAAAAAATTAGTTAGCGAAGAAAAAAAAGGAGAAGAGGAGAGAAGGTGGGGATTTGTACAACTTTTGTTGATTACTTCATTGACCATTTTTTAATAGTATTTGATCTTATTTGTATGCGTGAGATAATTTTAATAATATTGATTTCATTTGTATTTGTGGGATAATTTAGGCTTGGTTTGGTACTGAGGTGATTTTGAAAAAAGCTAGTATAAAAAAAAGCTGTGAGCTGTTTTTGTGTTTGGTAAACATCCAGCTTCAGCTTTTTTCACAGTTTTGGGTGAAAAAAAGCCAAAAACAAGAAGCTGCAAAACCCAGCTTTGAAAAATAGGTTTTTTTTTCACATCTGTTTTACATAAAAGTTTACCAAACACTATAATACTGCTTTTTTTCTTTTCAAAATCACTTTTACAAAAAAGTTTACGAAACACTCTGCTGCTTTATTTCACAGCTGTTTATTCTCACAGCACAGCAGAATCAGTTTTTTTTCAAAGCACAGTAATAACAAACTAGCCCTTACACTAAAGATGTAATATATAATGTGTTTTTACACGAGTGCATAAAATTAAATTTAAGAGAACCCGAAAAAATTCACAGAACTAATTAATTAGAATAACGTGAAGATAAGTCAAAGACAGCACATACCATATTCTTGTGGAAAACGAGGCCTTTTTGTCATATGCACTAGATAAAGGCCAAAGCAACATCCACAGACAAAGACTTTCCTGCAGCTTAAAGAAAGTTTCCTTCGATGCATAAAAGCCACAGCGTCTCCTCCAAGTTGAGTTTCATTTGACGTGGTGTTCCATCATATACTGATTGTCTGACAGATGATACTTTAATCATAAATGGAATTTACCATTCATGTTTTACACGAGTAGATGCTTAAAATTCAATTTTATGCTCGGACTTAAAGACTCATTTTGATTTGTTTTGACGGATTGTTATTGCACTATAAATAATAGTTTTTTTTTTTTTTTTGTTTAAGTAGTTTGTCGAGTAGATGCTTAAAATAAATATGTATAAAAAATATATATCATAATTGCGTCACATTTTTATTGACGATGTTGATCACATCTTTGGCAATGTAGCTAGAGCCCATTAACACGAGAGTAAATATCAGCTCTATACAAAACATGATAAAACATTATCGACATTGTCATAAATTCATATTATTCTTTAAGCTAATTTAAGTCATATAAGCAATAGGTGACACTATCAGGATTGCTCAATTTCATCGATGGCCTTTGGTCGAGTTGTGGCGATGAGAGAATTATCGTGTTCACAACTAATCACAAGAACAAGCTCGACCCTGCACTGGTGCGCCCTGGTCGCATGGACGTTCATGTTCACATGTCCTATTGTACCCCATCTGGTTTTAGGCTTCTAGCTTCTAATTACCTTGGAATTAAGGAGCACATTTTGTTTAGTGAGATTGAAGAACAAATTGAAGCCGTTCAAGTAACTCCGGCGGAAGTGGCTGAGCAGCTGATCAAGAGCGACGAGCCTGATGTTGCACTGCAAGGCCTGATTGAATTTTTCAAGGTGAAGAAAAAGGAAAATGAGGAAGCTGATGAGGCTAACAGGAAACAAGAACTAGAGGCTAAGGAAAAGGAAAGCAGGGTTTCTCAGGAAGCTAAGAGTGAGATGAAGAGCAAGAAAGCAGATAATGATGAAGATATTAACGAGAAAGTAGATAATTAATTAATGATGAACGTTAGATTTATTTAATTGTAGTAGTTGGAAATCAAACCCTTAACTAATTTCTTTGTGGTTGTCACTTCCAAAACACTGTTGAGTTCTTGTAAACTATATATGAGCCCCTGTGATGCTTTATTTTAGTTTAAGTTTGTATTGTCGTATAGGGGGCCAATAATTAAGAATTATATGTAACCATGATTGGATGAGGTAACCATGTTATATGTGTTCTGTCTTTATCTGTGATCATAAACTTTGTTGGAGTTCGTAATTTTATTTGTGAATTGGGTTGATATCTACTTTTATATTTTTTAATCTAGTTTTTGGACTGAACAAATAAAAGCAAAATTGAGGGACAACATTAATAGAGATTGTATAGTGTATACATAAATTACTCACTTTTTTATAATAAAAACCTTGTATATATCATGAACTGACGAGCTTTTATTATACGATCGGGTATACACACGTATATTGCAACCAAATCAACGAAGCTGCGGAGATTTATTTGTGCATGAAAATCAGCTCCAATACTAAGAGGACCAAAGTTAGCAGGAGCCCCAAGGAAGAACTCGACAATCCCACTCGAGAAAGGCGATAAATTGGTCGATTGCTATGAAGGGATTGGGCTCAAATCATGTGATATAAACCTCTATATATTCCATTTATGCTTTGTCATTCAGTATATACAGTGGACCATCTCATCAAATGAAACTCAATTTGGAGGAAGCTCAATGGCTTTTACATCGAAAGGAACTTAAGCTGAAGCTGCTGGAAAGTCTGTCTTTGGATCTTTTCTACTTCGGACAAGAAATCCAATTTAATTAGATACTGTGTGTCATGTATAGGAAAATGATCCACTCTGGATTTTAGTGTCCGGAACCTCCTCATTAAGCAATATGGACTGTTGATTAGTGTGCAAATCAAATCAGGACTATCGGTTGTATGTGATGGACCCTAGATTGTTTAATGAGGAAACTCCGAACACTAAAGTCCGGAGCGGATCCTCTTCCTCCTGTAGAGTGCATATATATTACAAAATGGCCAAATTCTTTGACTGGCAGAAGTCCTTCTTTTGACCAAAGAAAACAGAAACCTAACATATTCGTTATCCTTCTTTTGGCACAAGTCTTTTTTTACTGTTACTCAATACTACGGTCAAACGGTATTCATTTTCATTTAAAAATAAGAGGTCTTAGGTTCGAATCTCGTGGATGGTGAATTTGATACCAAATTAGATTACTTATTATGTAGTTTAGCCGAATTCCCCCTCTTTTTAATATAAAAATATCAATGTACTAAAAAAAACATATTCGTTATCATTCATTTTTTATTTTTTTAATATTAAAAAGTAATTTGATCAGTATACACAAAGGAGCCTTAAAAAAAACATGGACCCAAAAACACTCAAAACAAGCCCAAAATTTACAGACACAAACCAGAAAACAGAAAAAAACATGCATGCGTGTGAGCGCGTACATGAAAACTAGTACTAATATATATGAATTATGAGGAAAATGTTTGAGCTTGATATTTGTCATGGCTCAAGTATGAATGGAATGATGAAAAACAAGAATTAGGCTTTTTTTTGTCATATGCCCTGTATACTTGCACACAGCATCTAATTAGATTGGATTTGTAGACCAATGTAAAAAAAATCCAAAGACAGAGACTTTTCGGCAGCTTCCGAGACAGTTCCTTTAAAAGACCCAAAGACAAAGACATTACGGCAGCTTCCAATGAAGTTCCTTTCGGTGCATTAAAAGCCATTGCGTTTCCTCCAAGTTGAGTTTCATTTGATGTGATGGTCCACTATATACTGATTGTCTCATCCAAGAGATTTTTCAATAGCACTAAAAGATAAAGTGATATACCATGTATTATTATATCAATAGTAAAATACGTGTGTTAAAGTTAATAACTTAAAAAATACAATTTCTCACCATTTATATAAAAATATGTGATATACTACTTATGTTCCTGTCATAATGAAAAATTTCTCATCTCACACATAATACTTTAATCATAAATGGAATTTACCATTCATATTTTACGTTAAGATCTAGGGAAATGGTTATTCGGATCCATATGCTAAGGATTTCCACATCGTGTATCGTGCGATCAGTTTTCGTTAGGTACTATTTATTTTTAATTTTAAATAATAAAAGTCAAATGATTTATGACCGCATGATACATGATAAATGACTGAGATGTGAAGATCTCTAAGATCCCCACATAATTGATTTATATTGCACTATAAACAATAAAGTTGAGTTCAATGTTGATATTTTGTGACGCAATAAGTTAAGGAAGACCAAACTAAATAAGTATAAACAAAAACATCATAATTGCGTCTCATTTTTATTGACGTTGTTGATCACATCTTTGGCAAAGTAGCTAGAGCCAATTAACGCGAGCAACTTTCAGCTCTATAAAAAACGTGATAAAACATTGTCATGTTTGTCATAGATTCATATTCTTTTCCAAGCTAATTTTAGTCATGTATGCACTAGGTGACACTGTCAGGATTGCTCAATTTCATCGATGGCCTTTGGTCTAGTTGTGGGGACGAGAGAATTATCGTGTGCGTTCACAACCAATCACAATAACAAGTTCGACCCTACACTGGTGCGCCCTAGTTGCATGGACGTTCATGTTCACATGTCCTATTGTACCCCAGGTGGTTTTAGGCTTCTAGCTTCCAATTACCTTGGAATTAAGGAGCACATTTTGTTTAGTGAGATTGAGGAACAAATTGAAGCCGTTCAAGTAACTCCGACAGAAGTGGCTGAGCAGCTGATCAATAGCGACGAGCCTGGCGTTGCACTGCAAGGCCTAATTGAATTTTTCAAGGCGAAGAAAAGGGAAAATGAGGAAGCTACTGAGGCTAAGACGAAACAAGAACTAGAGGCTAAGGAAAAGGAAAGTAAGGTTTCTCAGGAAGCTAAGAGTGAGATGAAGGGCAAGAAAGCATATAATGATGAAGATATTAATAAGAAAGTAGATGATTAATTAAGGGACACTTTGGATGCGGTCCCTAGCTATCAATATTCTTTGACTGAAACCTTGTTAGTTTTTAGTTTTTTATCGAAGTTCCTGATTTTAATGTAATAATGTAAGTTACTATATTTTTTAAATTAAAAATTAAAAAATGAAATTTGTAATTGTTTATATTAATGAGATTTTAAATAAAACCCCATAATTTGTGGGATTAAAAATAATAAAATATAAATTATACTCTCTATTATATTGTGTGTATATATACATACATACATACATACATACATATATATATATATATGGGTACATTCATCAAAATTAACAAAAAAAAGTTATTGTACCAAAACATGGGTACATTCTTCAAAATCAAAGAAAATAAGATATCAGGCTTAATAACATTAGTAAATTTCTTCGATGAAACTTGACATAGATACATTCTCAAATCAACAAAAAAGAATGTACCCATAGAAGTTTAAAAATGAATTAAAAAAAATGAATATATTTAAAAAATGGTACATTTTACATATAACAAATATATTTAAGAATGGGTACATTTAAGATTAAAAAAATTGAAAAATTATATGAATGGGTACATTTAAGATTAAAAAATTGAGAATCTTTATATATATAAACCTAATAGGTACAAACTTTATCTAATTTTATTTATTTTTATTATTTTGGAAATGTTTGAATTGAAAATTAATTAGGAGTTTAATAGAGGTGTGAGTATTAAACCCTAAATTAATTACTAATTTTTATATTAAAAAGTTATGTAATAAACACTGTTGTAAAAAACACCCTAGGCGGCGCCTTGGAACTGAGGCAATTTTGTGCAAAATGGCTGGAAATATCGGGGTGGCTCTACGCTACCCTAGACAGTTGGGTGGTTTTTTATTTTTTTATTTTTTATTTTTGAAATTTGTTTAAAGTCTAAGTTCTAATTATACCTTGAAATTTTGTTAATTTATAGAATTTTATAGAATAGGTGTGTTGTGTATCAACTTAAATTCCGGGATCCTAAAGATAAGTATATTACATTACTAAATTTCCTTATTTTCCTCCTATTTTCCATTTTATGTTGTTTTAAATTGTGAACTTGTTGCACATGTGTCATCCTACAATACTCCTCACTATGGTTATATGGCATATATGCTTAATGTGTTTTTAAATTTTGGACTTGTTAGATACTCTTTTTGCATTTTATCATTCTTTTATTATGTTATTCATGAATTTCATACAAGTATATTTTTTTGTAAGTGTCAATATGCACTTATTTACAAGATATACAAGAAATTTACCTAAATTCGCCTAGCCCGCCTAAGCGCCGCCTAGCTGCCTAGGCGCTAGGTGCTAGCCTGCCACCCGACTAGCGCCTAGCGTTTTTAGAACCTTGGTAATAATCATGTAAATTCATTATCACATTAATGCTAGGGACTTTAATCAAAATTTGAAAACTAATAAGGTCTCAGTCAATAAACATTAGGAACTAGGGACCGGATACTGGTTTTTCCATTCGGTTCTGGTCCTTAATCAACCTAATTGTTAGACTGAAACTTTGTTTGTTTAAATATTTTGATCAAGGTCCTTAACATCATTTAAAGATTTTAACTCATGCATTTATGCATTTAATGTCCCACAAATTATGAAATTTAAACAAATTCAAATAATATTTTAAAATATAATAAACACTTAAAAATAAATATTAGAGTAATATTGTTCTTCACAAAATTATAGCAAGAAAATAATGTACCCATATAATTATTAACATATTTTAAAAAATAACCACTGATATATTTTAAAACATAAAATGAATACATATAATTAGCATGGGTACATTTAGCAAAATTAAAAATAATTTAGAAGAAAAAGTTTGTGACAACCCGTCCATAATTTTAAGTTTTTATAAATTTTAAAAGCGTGAATTTGCGAAAATGCCCCTAGAGGCAAGAACTTTGACTTCCGTTGACCATCGTCTAGAGGAACGTATGACTTATTCTTTTAAGTTATTGTGTAGTACTCGTTGGTACGAACGCATAGGCGAAAGTCGTTTGCGAGTCCGGATTATAACGGTATAATTACAAACGTTTGAAATTGGTTGTTTAAAGTTTGGTTATAAATTAATTAAACTCCCATCTTGTAGGAAAGAAGCCCAATCAGTGTCAAGGAAAGAAAATAGGGACCAATTAGATTTGTTAGAAGAAGAGGGAGCAACTAATCAGAAAAAGGAAAAAAAAAAAAGGGAAGCTCCCAGCCTTCCCGTCGCCCGTGCATTCGTGCACCAACT